TATTAGGATTCATACCTGCTACTACTTTTTCTGATTCAGCAAGAACCAATTCTAATATTTGTTAGGATGTTATGCTTTGAGATCATCTGGTCTGTCCAGGCTAATGAGCATCAGCACCCCACTCTAACTGGTGCTGCAGAGCAACTAAGATCAGACAAATAATATCCCTTTGCCTGAGAATTGTCCCAGTGGTGTAAAGGATAAGGCAAGGTGCTTGGGCCCTGCTGTCAGATTCCATGGTTTGAGTCCTCTTGGGCCTTATTATCCACCTAGAAAGAGGCAATGGACTCATCCTTTCTCCACTGCAATAACTGATGGGAAATGGTTATAATGCAAAATTTAAAATAACTTTTCTACTAAAGCTCTCAGCATCTGCTGTTTGATATCAGCTGGGCTGCACATAAAGATGCAATACACAGCCACTTTAAAGCAGTTCATGTGTCATTAGAGAACATTCAATTGACTGATCAGTTTGAATATTCTCTGGGGCATATCTCTTTGCTACTATACCATGCATTCTATTCTAAATACATTCCCTCTCACCTCCTAAAAGCAATATTACTATCCCTCCAAACCATGTGGAAGAACCTACTCAGGCAATGGAGTCCACTGCCCCAAGGGTTTTTACGTTGTTATACAGGCAGCTTAATAAATGTGCCTTAAATTCCTAGTCTCAGCCATTGCAGCACATTTCATACAGATTTCACCCTCTCTCTTGAAATTGCTTCCTTCTCTCTTAATAGGAATACAATTCAACATCTAGGTAACAGAACTGCATAACAGCCCCTGGTCTTGTATACTTTTCACTCTAGTATTCCACTTTGCCATAATAAATAGCAGTAAATCATACATAAACTTCATGCAAGAGTTTCACGATGGCCAATGACCCTGGCATTCCTCTTTAACAGACAGACAAGTTTCCCTAAGATTTTGTTCAATACTTCTCTTTAAGCAAAAGCTTTTAAAGTGTGCTGTAGTGAACTTGTCCAAATCAATAATCCTTGGTTCTGATATATAGCCTAATAGAGTCAGCTAACACTTGCAAGCCTGACTCACTATCTATATGCTCTGTGACCATGTTTCTATGAAGCATCTGGAATACTGTGTGTGGTTCTGACCAGCCAACCACAGCTGGAAAAGGTTCAGAAAAGCTAATCTTCAAAACAATGTACACATGGAATATAACCTAATATCTTCTCAAGTGAAACAAAATGTCCTGTTGGATTAATAAATAGAGAATTGCGCCAATGGTCACCAACACAACTCGTCAACACCACCTATTATTCACATACAAATATGTATCCTAGTATATTGGGTTAGACCTGTGAATGGAAGGGCACTTCTTGATCCAACCCTCTCGTTTGGATCCAATACAGCATATATCATAAATATAATTTATGCTACTAATTCCCAGGCAAAAGATTGTACATAAGGTATCATCCTTGGGTAAGGAATGCCTTGTATCATTGTTCTGTACACTGCAAATCACACTGTTGGTACTAAAGAAATGTTTAGTGTAGCAGTAACTTGTAGGCAGACATGATACCAAAGGTCAACCAGGTCAGGCACAGGCTGAAGGTCCCATGGGCTCAGAAAGCCCCCTATTGGCACTGCACTTGCAACCTGCCACTCACCATCCTCCTGGCTGAGCTTCTAAAATCAGTTCAGTGCTAGGAAGGCGGCACTATCCTGCCCAATACATCTATAAAATGTACTATCTGGAAGATAGGGATTGTATAGATCTACAGGGATGTGGGTGGCACTGTGGTCTAAACCACTGAGCCTAGGGCTTGCCAATTGGAAGGTCGGCGGTTTGAATCCTCGCAATGGGGTGAGCTCCCGTTGTTCGGTCCCAGCTCCTGCCCACCTAGCAGTTCGAAAGCACCTCAAAGTGCAAGTTGATAAATAGGTACCACTCCGGCGGGAAGGTAAACAGTGTTTCTGTGAGCTGCTCTGGTTTGCCAGAAGCGGCTTAGTCATGCTGGCCACATGACCCGGAAGCTGTCTGTGGACAAACACTGGCTCCCTTGGCCTAAAGAGCGAGATGAGCGAGCAACCCCAGAGTCATCCGCGACTGGACCTAATGGTCAGGGTACTTACCTTTACCTTTACAGTACCTTTAGGGCTAAGACTATTAATAGGCCCTGCTCTGGTTGATGGGATGGCAGTGGTGTCACTGTACCAAGGACCCCCTGAAATCTTGTGTTAGCCCTATTTGTAAGCAACATCCCCCAGTACACTTGGATAGTCTTCAAATGAATTGATGCCAAGGTGAAACATATTCAGCCCTTCCCCCCCCCCCACTGTCCTATTAGAATGCTAAATTCAGAATATGCTGATTGACTTTCACGTTGCAGGAAACAAACAGCAAGACTGAAATAGGAGGAAAAGCTAAGCTGTTTCAGGAGAAAGTTGTACCACAAGCATGAAACACTGAACCTTGAGATGATTTTTAGAAAACTAATCTAGTTACTAATGCTTCGGTAACCATATTAGCACTGACTGCAAAACACTCAGTTGTGTCATTACTTTCTTCAGCAGCAGCTCCCATCAAGCTGTACCTATCCAACGTAAAATTGGAGTTGATAAAGGAGAGAGGACGATAGGGCAATTGGAGACACAGTTTCAGTTGCTGACTGACAACACTGCCATCCCTTAACATGGTTTTATTTAGTTATTACAACCATCTCTCTGTAAATGACACTTAGGATTATTTAAGATTATGTTGTAATCCTTTTAATCCCCACTGCTTTAAATTTCAGGCTCAACACCAAAGAGCAAACTAGCACTTAGCGGAAATGTTTAAAGCATGTGATTTGAACATAAATCTTCTTTTATTCGCAACTCTTCTGATGAAGACCTAGTGTAACGTGTCAGTTTGCCAGGGAGACGGAGACGATACCCAGCTGCAAATTGCACCGTGTGCTCATAGGATCCTGTGAAGCTGCTTCAAACAACTTTCTGCTTTCATGTTCTCCTTTGTCAAGAAAATTAAGCATTCACAAGACAATAGGTCTTGATAAATACTTCAAGGTGTGGCAGAGGACCACAATGGCATTGAATAATGATACAACAACAACAACGCAATGCCTGACATCCCATGAACAGGCATGCATCCCATTTGCTTCTACCAGTGGGAAACTTGGTACAGAATGGCCGCTTACCATCTTGCTGGCAAGCGGCAGTTGCAGCCCAACACAGTGCCTCCTCCCTCTTCCAAATGTGCAGTGCCATTTTAGATTGTTTCCCTGCTGCCACAGAGGCTCGCAGGTTCCTGCCTAAGTCATCCTTCAAATGAACCAATCCATGGCAGCCCCGGGACACTGTTCAGCCCGGACACTGAGGTCCAGCTCCAAGGGCCTTCTGACGGTTCCCTCACTGCGAGAAGTGAGGTTACAGGGAACCAGGCAGAGGGCCTTCTTGGTAGTGGTGCCTGCCCAGTGGAACGCCCTCCCTTCAGATGTCAAGGCAATAAGCAACTATCTTACTTTTCAAAGACATCTGAAGGCAACCCTGTTTAGGGAAGTTTTTAATGTTTAATGCTGTATTGTGTTTTTAATATTTGGTTGGGAGCCGCCCAGAGTGGCTGGAGAACCCAGATGGGCGGGTATAATAAATTGTTGTTGTTGTTGTGGGGGGTGGGGCATGGCCATCTACTTAGCCCAGCCGACCACTCAGTACAGCATCCAGTCGGCTGGAGCATCACCCAATGCTTACAAGCTAGTTGTTTTTTTTAGCAGGTGCTTACACATAAATCTAGCCAAATTATGAGGGAAGTATACGAGAAGGCGTCAAGGAATCCTAAGTGGGCTCACCCTCATGGGAGCAGCCCCTTGAAGCTGGCCCTGACAACTGAGGCAGCAATCTTCTGTGCATAGGATGATGCTGTAAGGCTGAAATCTACATCACTGTTACTCATAAGGCAGCACCTTTGTGATCAATGGAGAGTAATCAACTAGTTGTGATAGCCCAATAGGATTTACTCTCCATCCACCCACACCCTGCGCCATCTCCACATCTGCTCTGGAGGGTTGGGGGAACGCCAAGAACAGATGTAGTGGGTGTGAGAGAAAAGGAGAATGTTTCATTGCACATTGTGCTGGTAGAACATTTTGCTTCGCGCTATGTTGACTACAACCCAACTTCTTTAGCATCAGCGTATAAGCATCACTTATCCTGCCAACCTAGCAGTTTGAAAGCACGAAGTGCAAGTAGATAAATAGGTACTGCTCCGGCGGGAAGGTAAACGGCGTTTCCGTGCGCTGCTCTGGTTCGCCAGAAGCGGTTTAGTCATGCTGGCGACATGACCTGGAAGCTGTACCCCGGCTCCCTCGGCCAATAAAGCAAGATGAGCACGCAACCCCAGAGTCGTCCGCAACTGGACCTAATGGTCAGGGGTCCCTTTACCTTTATAAGCATCACTATAAAACTTTCTTTACATTCATTAAAATTATCTGACTTTGGAATAAATGCATAGCTGATTGAGCTGGCTCTAAGAGATGAAGAGTTGTTGCTTTTTTACCTCCCCATTCCTGTGCCGTCTTTGCTCTGGAATGAACCTGTCATTAAAGCCCTAAGAAATAATAAAAATAAACAGGCAAATTCCACTCAGTTGGGAATATAGCTTATGTAAGCAGCGTGTGAAAGTTCTGTTTACAGGAGTTCACTAGGTCAAGGATCCCAGTCTTAAACCCAAAACAAATTACCTACCAACTTTTAAAAACAAATTGAACATGGCACATTAATCAGCAAATCAACAGGTTCTCAAGGGTTTTCAGCTGATTCAATCATCAAGACACTTCAGGCCGGGGGGGGGGGGGGACGACAGGAAAGAGTGAATAAAATGTTACATGTTCCAATTGCCTTAACAAAGTACAAGCATTGCCATGGCACACTCTATACTATGCATGGAAAGGAACTCTGGTTTGTTTAGTTTTTTGCTTTGTTTTTAATGATGAAATTGCCAAATAATGATAGGGCAATAATAAACCATCTCCTACCTGGAAAACATTCTTTTTGCTAGACTTGTCTTTTGTCCATTCGATGTGAGCTCCACACAAGTCCACCCATTCAGGTTTATACCCTGCTTTCTGTTGACAAAAAAATGAGAATCAGTTATAGCAAACTTTATCAGATAAAATCAGAAAAGATTGGCTAGGGAAACTACTATCATCTGAATACCCCAGTACAAATTTCCATATACAGTATGAGCCTACTCTGAATATCAGAATTAGAAACACTTCCACTTCCTGAGGGATAGACTACTAGAAAAATGAATGTTGGTACCTTAAGAATTCAATTATCTATGCAAAGTTTGTTTCTAAAAACTTAGAGGTGGTGTATAGTACTTTAACCAGGCTGTGCCTACTCAGTGGGACAGCTGAGGTAAAGAACAGCCACTATTATGGGCAATTAGTTCATTACCTCAAAAGGGACGCGGGTGGCGCTGTGGGTAAAACCTCAGCGCCTAGGGCTTGCCGATCGCATGGTCGGCGGTTCGAATCCCCGCGGCGGGGTGAGCTCCCATCTTTCGGTCCCAGCTCCTGCCCACCTAGCAGTTCGAAAGCACCCCTAAGTGCAAGTAGATAAATAGGTATCGCTTTATAGCGGGAAGGTAAACGGCGTTTCTGTGTGCTGCGCTGGTGCTGGCTCGTCAGAGCAGCTTCACCACGCTGGCCACGTGACCCAGAAGTGTCTCTGGACAGCGCTGGCCCCCGGCCTCTTAAGTGAGATGGGCGCACAACCCTAGAGTTGGACACAACTGGCCCTTACGGGCAGGGGTACCTTTACCTTTACCTTTAGTTCATTACCTCAGTACCATTTAAACCAGGCACATCAAACTTCCAAGAGACTGCGATCTACTCCCCTGCTTTTTTTTTTTTTTTTTGCGGAGGATTGCCCAGAGTTGTTGAGTTTTTTGGGGTAGGATTGCCCAGAGTTCTTCAGCTTTTCTTTGTTAACTTTCGGTAAACTTTATTTAAGCCAATTATCAATAAGGTCCCACGATCTACCAGGATCAGCCAGAGATATACTGGTAGATCACAATCTACTGGCTGGACATGCGTGATTTAGACAATGCCTTTCTGTAAGGCCCTGAACACTTAGGAACAGGTTGGTAGTGCTTTAAAATGAGTTATTGATTTCCCTAGCACTATGAGTTCCTTGTTTGCTGATGGTTTGTTCTTGTTTTTATGTTAGAAAGGGCCGTAAGTTTCAGTTCCTGAGTGCCAACCCTTTTGAGGAAGCTGCTGTCCAGCCGAGGTGAACAGAAAGAGGCCATTTCCCCTCCAACCAGCATAGCAACCAAGCATCAGAAAGGCACAACCTTTCTGATAGAATTTGTGGAAGGCGGTGCTCTGTGTTATTATATTTTGACACATATGTAAATAATATCATTTATATAAAATCTTATTTGTGTACTGCTGTTTGATGTTTGAAAGTTTTGTCTTTCCCCCTCTGTTTAAGTCATTTGCTGTGAGTTCCTTCAGAGACCCTTAATTAAAAACATTAAGCATCATGCTTTTTTAGAATAAAAAGAAAGGAAGTTACAGGGCTCCTAGGAATTTTGTTGTTGCTTTTCAGATGCCTTAGTATTACATGAAATTAAAAATCTATTTTCCATTGAACAACTCTAATCTGGTTATTTCAAATCTTTCTTTACACTGATAACACAGAAAAAATAATTGGTGTTTTAAAGTTAATGGACAGCACATTAGTTACCACAATGAGGTAGGTGGATCACAGTTGTAACAACAGAAGGATAAACTTTCGATCTCCATTGAAATCTATCAACTTTGCTGGAATGCATAAGCAAAAGCTCTCTCCTTTGATCAAATGATTATTAAACAACCATTAAGTAAGGCTGGGCTGAAATTCTCTACCCCCTTTCCAAGGACAGTGTATTTTGTGGGGTGGAAATATTTGTAACAGTCATCCTTGCCCTGCAAGGATGTCTTTGAGAAATACACTACATTGTGATGCAGCACTTTTCCTGTATGGCATTGAGTCCCAAATTAGAGTAGAATGCCTTCAGAGGTTGCTGAAAGAAGCCTATCCACTTGAAGTGGTGGCAAACTCTTTTTTCATGGGGGGGGGGGGACCAATCATTCCATGGTGAAACCATCACTTGGTTCCACCAGAAGCTAAATTAAGTCCAGTGCTGCTCAGCCCACAAGCGATCACACCAATTTAGTTGTGTGAACAGAAATTCACATTGAGGAAGGGCTATAGCTTGGTAGCAGAGCTCATGTTTTGCATGCAGAAGGTCTCCGTTTCAGTCCCTACCATCTCCAGGAAGGACTGGGAAAGACTGATCTAGCTCTGTGTAAGTTGGCAAAGAAAACTGCATGCAGAAGCAGCTCAGATGTGCAAAGTACCCTTTGAAAAATGAGATGTTGCTGTTTTGTATTGTAACTGACAGTTCTGCATCCTTCCTGCTATCATTCATGATTGAGCCTTTCCATTCCCACCCAACTGCAACAATTAACATATATGCCTCCACCTGTTACCCAGCTCCTTGAACTGACCAAGAAATCCAGAATGTCTTTGTGTCTCTTATGAATCCTTCTCACTGTCCTTTCTTTACCATGATCACCTGAATGGACAGACTAAAACACCCTCACCTGCCCCAGAGCATCACCGTAATGTTATCATGAATGTATAAACTAAAGAGAGACATCTGGGCGGGGGGCGGGTTTAATTTGCCAGTATTGAAAACAACACACACAACCAAAGCATCTAAAACATTTTTGTCTTTCCTCTGTTTTATGAAATTCATAGGAATCCTACACACTTCCTCCAGTAGCGTGAGTAAAAGCTATCATGAGAACTCCCTCCAACACTCAAATGTCCTTGCTTTGGGTTCTTCAGTCAGACCAATTATGTTACATCAAAGCCATTGGAAGGGACTGTGCCTGTAAATTGCTACAAGTGCCTGTTACAATGAAATCTTATTCTCCATGCATATGGATTTGGAAGGCATCTTCACTCAGTAAATTAGTGTGCAGAAGGGCTAATAACCTGAGGTAAGATACCCTCTGTTCTGAATAAACTATCTGGCGGGAGAAAAATGTATACTGTATAGTGGACTAGAATTTTCTGTCAAAACGGAAATGTGTTTAAAAAGACATTTCCCTTATAGAATGTTGCTGACAACTGAATCTGAAGGATACACAGTAGTAGAGTATTTTTATACCACAGTCAGAGCAATTGATGAAAAAAACTGAAGAATACACAATTGAAAGGAAGGCAAAATTCAATGTGTCTGCAATACACATTTCAGAGGCACTGCCTGTCCACAATGCACACCACTTTATTTTATACATCTATGATGTTTAGCGGAGTTGCACGCGTGCAATGTCAAATGTAGCCCTATTCAGTAGTTCTTCTTTCTCCCTGCCCTCGATTATAATTGTACAAGGGGAGAATAGGGATGAGTCCATTGGACCTGCCTCCTCCTGCATGTCCGTATCTCTCACTCACACACATATTGGGGGCTTAACTTCTCCAGCAGGGAGCCTTTTATACTTAGGTAGGTTCCCTGCATGATAAAGAAACCTCAAAGAACAAGCTGCTAGGACCTGGCAGTGCAAATGGTATCACTAGCCAGGGCTTAAATGATTCTAGATAGTCCTAATGTACTCATGAGGTTCTGACAGACAACACACTTCAGCCAGATTATGGAGTTTCAATTTAATAATTGATTCAATGACCAGTTTGTAATACTATGGCTCCATTTGGAAGCAACCTTGGTCTATATGTTGCTTTATCATACTTGGATATCTTCCGAAATATATAAGGACATTGTTATTTAAAAACTGGTAATGATTAACTCAGTCCAGTTTTGTTTCTTGCTATTTCCAAATGTAACTGCATATATGTAAGGGTATGAAGGTCTATTGGAATGCACTTTTATTTCTCCCTCTATATTGTTGAAATGGAACTGTTGCGCTGAAATATTTTGTTTCATATTTTTGTTTCCTTTTTAAAAGAAACAATCAATTTAAACCCAGTACTTAATAATCAGGAATTAATGAATTAATACATTTATGGTTTAAGAACATATCCATCTTTGTAATAAATTGCATAATTTTCATGCCCAAAATAAGATTGCTGTGTTATTAAATTCATACCACAATGAATGAATATTACGTTATTTAATTAATGGTCGAATTCTTCCGTTCTCTAAAGTAAACAATACTTGAAAGTAAAATCAGTAAACAAATAATTTTTAATGAAATCACATGTGTACATTTGCTTCCTTTGCTCCTATCAAAAATTACAGTAGGATGAATGGTTTGCTGCAAACATCACATTAGCTGCATCAGAAACAAATAAGCTTGCCTCCATAGACTCCTTCTGGTAAAGAACTTTTTTTCAGATTGTTAGGCATGAAGGGGGGGGGGAGTTCTGAGCAGCTGTACTTTAGCAATGGGATAATTTAGACATTAATGAAATAATATAATGAGTTCATTGTTTTGTGGCAAAGGCTGGATCCTATGATCTGACCATTTTTTATTATCTGTTGATTGAACATTGCCTTCATTTCTATTCCCTTAGAAAATAATAATAATAATAAAACCACAATAGCCAAACTGGCCTATTTGCATGCCCAAGGACATTTGTACATTGACTGACCCTTTCCCAAGTTTATGTTCCATTTGCGGCTGCTTGTGGTGCATAAGAAGCCACTTCTCCAAATACCAAAAGTACCAGATTTAATGGGTTGTACCACAGGGAGGTGCTATTGGAAAGGAAGGTTTGCAGCTTCAGTCCATGTTTCTTCCTACATCTGGACTTTGGTTAAGCCCTAAACCTGTTCCTTGGCCTCTTGACAAACTTTTTTGAACCTGCCTTTCTGACCCATGCATTCATGGTGGTGGACAACAACTTCATTGTGAAGCCTGAAAAGGGTCTTCAACGTGACTGAGGAAGTTGATCACTTTGGCAACAGTTGCTGGGGTGGGGCTAGTTGCCTTTTGGGGATGAAGATGCTCCTCTGGAAGATCTAGATTAAGACTTAGTTGACTTGGAACATTGCTACTTAGACCTGAAACTGGTAGATTCCCTTGATTTGTTGTTCTGAAAGGAATGATGTGCTGTGGCTTTCTTTTATTTTCACCAAGGAATGAAATCAGGCTGTTTGAAAAGCTTATTTCTTGGAATGATGAGCCTGCCCTGGGTCCACCTTCCATTGGCATCGCTAGTGTGCATCCCACCACAGCATTAGCGGCCAGTCCTAGCAGTCATCTGGAAGATACTAAATGAAGGGTTGGTTCTAAGAGCCACCAGCAGTTCCTCTACTCCTTTGCAAAGACTGAGTTACTAAAGAATGCCTGTATGGGCCACAGATTCAGGTTCCTGGGGGCTAACTCAATCTGCCCTTAAGCTCCTGCCCTTTTTGTTTCTCTGTGGCTGATGATGATAAGACAACCACTGGAGTATCCACTAGAGGTACTTTAAATCAGGGTGGGGAATTGGATTTGGCCAATAAGCCAAATCCCTCATTCCTCCAACTCAACTGTGACAGGTGGCTAGAACTACTACAGATCTCTGCAAAGGGGGAGGGGGTACTTTGTTTGGAGGAACCAGTTCGGATTCAAATCACTTTCTTTGAAAGGAACATTCCCCCACTTGGATTTAAACTGCTTCCTCTAAACAAAGCATTTTTCTCCATCATCTCCTGAAGACGCCTCCAATCTGCAAACAACTCCATCAGGACCAAAGTAGCTGCCAATCGGGGAACAAACACGCAGAAATAAAAGAAGACTTTTGAGGATCATTTTGCCCCTCCAGCCATACTTTGGCACTCAAAAAACCAAAATAGATAAACTACGCAGCCCAGTTAGGGACGGGGGTGGCGCTGTGGGTAAAACCTCAGCGCCTAGGACTTGTCGATCACATGGTCGGCGGTTCGAATCCCCATGGCGGGGTGTGCTCCCGTCGTTTGGTCCCAGCGCCTGCCAACCTAGCAGTTCGAAAGCACCCCCGGGTGCAAGTAGATAAATAGGGACCGCTTACTAGCGGGAAGGTAAACGGCGTTCCGTGTGCTGCGCTGGCTCGCCAGATGCAGCTTGTCACGCTGGCCATGTGACCCGGAAGTGTCTCTGGACAGCACTGGCTCCCGACCTATAGAGTGAGATGAGCGCACAACCCTAGAGTCTGGCAAGACTGGCCTGTACGGGCAGGGGTACCTTTACCTTTACCTTTACGCAGCCCAGTTCTGGACTGCAAAAGGAGCACAATTAAGCAGCTGGAACGCCACAATGCAGGACTTCTGTGGCCTGATGATCACAAATTGTGATAATTTAGATTGCTGTGCAATCTAAAGAATCCAAGGATTTTAGGATCCAGGTAGCAATCTTGAATTCTGAGTACTGGAACTGCAAATTCACAATTAATATGGCAAGTGTTATTTAAGAATATAATGTGAGTCTTATGAACAAACGTGTGACAGTATAACTTCAGGTTCCAATCCATTTTCACTTAATACACATTTTGTTTGAAAATGGAAACGTACTATGCTATCACTGCAGCATAAAAGCCTATCATATTACCAGCAAGAGATATACAACACATTTTCTCCTTCATTCCCATAATGAACCATTGAAGGAGAAGGACAAGCTTCCCTATGGCTCACAGTTCCAATGGTCAAACTAATAAAAAGCAAGGAAACAAGCAGGGGGCTCCATATCACCTAACATATCTAAATTTATTTATTGTTTCTGACTCCTGTCATATAGTGCACCTTTTTGGTCACCCATCAAACCAATACGGTATGGCAGGTTTGATCAAGCCTTGGGAAGCCATCACAATAGGGCTCTGTCAAACCTTTCCCTGTTCAGTCTATAGTGTCACTAATTTATGGATTTCTCTGTTTTTCCGGAGTCCAGAATAGAGGAGGCTCAATCTCAGCAGCAGCTAGCACTGAAGGGAAACATGCTGTGATTATTTGTACAACATATCTGTCACATATCTGAAGGCTACAATCGAAGGTCTCCCCTCAAGGAACTTTTCCTCCCCAAAAGTATACTGAATTCTACTTTGAGGTGCATTAACTATATTAGATAGAGTCATAAGGAATATTCAGGAAATGTTAGCCAGATGTAGAATATGTCACATTTATATGAAGATAAAAATCACTTTGCTAACTTACAGTGTTTTGCTCTTTGGTAACACCCTATATTAAGGTGCCATTTATAACTACTTTATTATTATTTATGATATGCAAGTCACTTTACAGCAAGCTCAATAGCAACTTAAATTCATGTATTAAAGATGCATACACAGGGTTTAATACAATTTACGTCTTATAACATCCTTTGTAACAGATTCTCATCGCCTCATCTGTTAAGCATTTATTACTAATGCATTTTATAACATACTTTATAATACATTATTTGAGGAAGTAGTTGCATTTAGAGATCATTTCATAAATAAGAATAAAGCATTTATAACTGGCACCTTAATTTAAAGTGTTACCTCCACATTACTGGAGAGCCACTCACCATCCGTCTCACTTTGCAATTATTTTCAAAAAGCACCTCTTAATAAAAGATATGCTGAGTTCTATTTCCCCTCCTCTCTCATCTGATTAAAAGTTTATTGAGTCATTTTCTTACATCAGATCTTAGAGGTCTAAGGCTTAATAGTTCTGTGCTCTTTTATGATGCCAAACTTTATGTTCAACATTTATGAAAAAGAAAAAGGCGTAAGAAAGTGAGCTGCTTACCAGATTGGCCGCGGCTGCCTGCTTGGATTCCTTGTAAAATTCTATTTTCTGACCGGTGAGAACAAGCCAAGAAGTCGTCCAGTTTTTCCTTTAAAGAAATAACAACAGTTTTATTGAAAAAGGATCAATTAAGCAAACACAGATTACTTCGTACATAAAGACAGATTCACTTTTGCAGGCCAAGCACATGTGATGCATCAGGGCCGGACTCCAGAAACCATTACTACTGCTTACCTAGAGAGGGCTGGAGGAAGGCAGGCCAGTAGTGTGGGTTGGGGATAATGATTGCAACAGTAGGACCACTAGATTGGTGAACCCCTGCAGCTCACCCCACCACAAGCAGCACTACTGAGCCCAGGGTTCCAAACTATTTACATATAACGGTCATCTGCTAGAATAAAGTTTATTTGATTTTCCAAGCTGGGCAGTCAGGCGTGCACTTAAGAACAATACCCAAATTCAAAACAGTATTCAGTACATCTCTTCTAATATTGACAGAATTGCAACTGCATGGGTTTAGCCCAATGGTTTGGTAGCTCGGATGCTGTGTCCAAACAGCTACAGCTTTATCCTTGGTTATATTTACAAGTCTGGTTCAGTAGTCTGATTATGACAACTATGCTTTCTAGGTTGCTCTACTGCAAGACCAATTCACAGCACAGCAAGTGGCAGGAAATCAGGATAAAACAAAGTAGAAGAATAAAGGAAAGAGGATCATGAGCTATCAAAAGAGCTGAAGAAACTAGTTCTATAGGACTACTTAATGCTTTGCATTTTTAAAAGATATATAGCATTTAAGAATATATATAAACATCTGATATGTATTTAAAAAACTCCATGCATATAATAGATGCATACATTTAGAGAGTCTTCCCTGCTGAGTCTTCTTTTGTTAGCAAACCAAGTTTGCCTCTGTGTAATGAGTGAAATTCTGCTAAAGCTGTCACCTCAGACTTAAACTCTTTATAGTAAGGTCTGATTTAAATGTTCAGTAGCTTATTTGGGACAGCAGCCGTATCACCTCATATTTCATGGGGAAAGATGCCCTGTTTGAAATTACCATCAAATTCAATCTGCAGACTTGTGTGAGCCATGTTAGAGCTCAAGTGCTTTAATTCACCATTTGAAGGCAATTATAATGGATTTCAAAGATGATAATGTTGCATCGTTTGCAACTTGTTGACTACAAAGATTTGCCACAATGCAGCACAAAATTAAGTGGACATATGGACACTGAAATCAATTGGCTCAAACGTATTTAAGTCTGCCTTGGCTTCAGTAGTGGTGCATATGGTGGGCTTGCTGGGCTGGGAGGTGGCAAGGTCAGGACCACAGGTGTACTGGCAGGAGCACCTCATATTTCATGGGGAAAGATGGGCTAGCACTCCAACCCAACCCCATCCAGGTAAGCAGCAGCAGCCCTGGTGTCAGGAGGGTGGCTCTGCAATTCTGCCACAGTAGATGTCCTGCTATTGCTTGAATATTGCCATTTACTACAAGTGGAAATAATTAAACTGAATTTACTTCCAAGTATGGGAATTTACAGTTGTAGTCTCTCTTGTGTCTCAAGTTGGCATAATAAGTAGAACACTTTCACTGAAGTCCATGCAAAGGTTCATGTTTTGCTAGAGCAAGGCCCATGACGGTTTGTCGTCATTTTGTAAGCAGAGACAACTTTTTCGTTTGTTTCTTTAGACTGAAAATTAGAATAGAAACATCCAGCTACAGTCTGAGAAATTTGGGACAATCAGTACTGCCACTCCAGGTATTTTACTTCTGGTCCATCATTTAAATAGGATTAATGCATGCTAAATATGTAGATCCTATCCTGTACAGTGGTATCTCGGGTTAAGTACTTAATTCGTTCTGGAGGTCCGTTCTTAACCTGAAACTGTTCTTAACCTGAAGCACCACTTTAGCTAATGGGGGCTCCCATTCTGCCGCGCCGCCAGAGTATGATTTCTGTTCTCATCCTGAAGCAAAGTTCTTAACCCGAGGTACTATTTCTGGGTTAGCGGAGTTTGTAACCTGAAGCGTATGTAACCCGAGCTACCACTGCAGAAGCCACTTTGCAAAGTGGGAAGGCAGAGACAGACACCAGAACTTAGATGTGTTTAAGATCTAGTTCATGTATTACTGCAGTGGGTTTCTGTAATCCAGTTCAGTAATATATTAAAGTAATGAATGTCAGGATTACATTAGCCTGAACTTCTATTCCTAACTAAAGAATGGACTGTGGCACATTCTTGCCATGTGGACATGGCACATTTCCTACTTTTAGATTTCTGTCTGTAATATATGAGTTTCATTAGCATTACTTCCTCTTGTTTTCTGAAATACTGGCACATAAAAAACAAACATTTCCTTAGATTTTTTTTTTAAAGGTACATATTCAAGGAGGTGGGGGGGTACAAAATAGTATTCTATGAAAAAGGTTCCAGAGCATTGGTATTCACTGGGTGGACTGGCATCCCAGAAGTGCATTGTACCCTAGGCTAAGGTGAACTGAATCAATAGCACCAGCTTTGAGGTTTGTCTTTGTTAAGAAAAAGAGGGATTCTAAGGCAGAGGGTAGCTTGGAACCTTCCAAATGTTGTTAGACTCCAACTTCCATCAGCCCCAGTCAGCATGGCCGGTGGTATCAAATGATGAGAGTTGTAGTAAAATAACATCCAGAGGAGTAAATTTCCCCTTGCCCTGGGTTAAAAAGAAAAATGGAACTATCACATGCAAAGGACAGCATACTCTAGTATTGCTAACATTTATGTAGAAATACATGTCTTTAGCATTGTGAAATATACATACAATTCCATATAGAGTCAGGGGTGGGTTTTTTCTGTCTTAGAAAAAATCAGTTCAGCAAAAGGTAATATAGAGCTGGACAGATGGTGCAACCGCAACAATCTTTGGATTGCCAGTAAAGGTTTTTTTGAAATAAAAGTTAACCTAACAAAATGGATTAAATACATTTTAAAGAATGACACCATGTTGAGGTTTGTCTGGTGGCCCCAAAGTGACAGTTTAACAACAGATTAAAAGGAGACAAAATCAGATAGAATGCTGCATCAAAATGATGCAAGAGAGAGAGAAAACCCCTGCAACTCTCAGATGTAAAACACCTGTAAACTGTTTTCATGCAAAAAGATAAATATGAACTACACGGCTGCATAAAACATAATGTCAAACTTCAAGCGGCTTTTTGTAAACTAAAGCAATGAACTTCTACAGCTCTCTCCTTGTGACCACTGTATTTGCATTCTGGCAAATGGACACCTGATGGCAGCACACTATAAGACCAACACAGTTTGCATTGATTGCTATATGTTCTTAAAGAAGCAGGGACTTAAGTTTAAGTAGGTAATTCTAGGTTTATAACAAAAATTATGACAACTCCATTTCTGCCCCCCCCCCCCAATGTTTAACCACAGGAGCAGGAAAATCAGGCATTGTTTTCCTGTACTGGGCATGAACAGTTACTAATAGATTCCACACATCTTTTATTTTGTATAAATGGCAAAAGCATTCTCAAAATAGCATAAGCAGATTTAGGCAACATTTAATTTTGCAGACATGCTTCACTTCTTCACAGAGGGGCCAGATCCAAATAAGGAAAAGGGCTCATACACCTTTAATAGTTGTGTGGAAACGAGAATTTCAGCAGGCGTGCTCCCTCTCTTTCATCTGGCTGCCCTAAAGATTCTTGGAATAGGATGAAGGCTTGAGTTAAGATTCATGTGGGCTGAGTTGCTTGACTAGGTTCAAGCTCCTCTCAGCCACACGAATTGCACTGAGTGACTCCCCTTCCTTATCCCTTGACAAGGGACTTATTCCTTGAGGCTCTTGTGGGGGGGGGGGAGAAGGAGAAGGACAAATTCCCACCCGAAACTTTACTTGTACAAAGGGCAAGGGAAAATATGTGCAATTAATAAATAAAATGGTGGAGCAGTCATTTGATTAGAACAGGGGCACTCAATACAGTGCCAATTTTGGACCCACCAGCCCCAGCCTGTATAGTCAATGGTTGAAGATGGGAGTTGGAGAGGACAATGGTGGCTACTCCTTCATTAGAAAAAGGTTATTTGACCCAAGTGAGAACCCAGGAGTTTAGTGACTATATAAACCAATTTAAATGTTCATTTACTCTGGTACTACAGTCTTCTCACAGAACAATACTACTTCGGTTTTTCCTGCAGAGTTGGTTTTTCCTGACATGAAAATGGTGCTCTACGTAAAAACCTAACTCTTCAGAGAGATAGCTACCTGCCTCCTGCACTCCATTCTCCAAGTGAAAACTAAGATACTATATGTCCATAAGACTGTACGGCCTCAGAAAGTAAATACAGTGAAATCAGCTGTAAATTACCACAGTCACGATGAAGAAATACAGCCGTGACAATCCAGATTCCAGACACAGAATTTTTGAGTTGAAGTTGCCTCAAAAATCTGCTAATCCAGCCTCTGAATCCCAATATATTTTCTACACTCAATAATCACTAATTACTAATGACATTTCCACCTCCAGTTTGAAAAGCAACGATTTCCCTTCCCCTCAAATTACGGTCTGGGCAGAGTGATCCATGTGCTTGCCACTGCCAGTTTCAAGTCCTCTGCCTGAGGCTGAGGGCAGAAGTGGCACAAGAACTGCAGCTTGCTAATACAGCACCTATTATGAAAACACAGCAGGATGCACTTATTTCTAAAAGATTCCCCAGTTTAATTCTTTTCTTTTTAAAGGACTTTGTTTGGGGGCTTTTTAAAAAACAACAACAACATTAGGAGGGTTAAAACTTAAGAAAATGAAAATCTAGCAAGTTCCCAGTGCAAAAAAAGAATTGCTACAATTAAAGATAATGAATCAGTATCTTGTTTCTGCTTGCACTGAAGTCACTTTAAAAACAAAAAAAAGGACCCAATGGATAAAATACATTATTTTGTGAAACTTTTACCATAATCAAACCCCAATGTTCTTAAACTATGTATTTGCTGCAGATAAATAACATAGAAATCTATTACCCTTCCTAATTTATAATACAGAAGAAAGACCCATGAATTCTGTGTACCATGTGATGTCACCTTATAAAATTACTATGATACTTTGAGCTTAGTCTGCAGGTCAGGCTCTTATAGCTACCCCTTCAAGAGATAATGAGCTTTCTAACACTTTTGCTTATACTGTAAGTTTTGGTTATTGTCTCATACCTTTGCTTCTTGCCTCCATCTGCAATTTTAGCTTTTAGAAGACACCCTTCTTTGATTACCTGCAATAAAGAACAAACATATGCTAAATTCTTATTTGTGCTTTCAGGTTTCCCTACACTGGCATACTGCCAAAGAAACTAGTTCCCACCCAATTGTTTTAATATATGTTCACAAATGCAGCTTAGACCTAGATGAGCTGTGCTCCCCAGCTAAGTGTTGAAGGGCTTGCTACAAAGTATTAAAAAATGAACAGAAATGAAAACAGAAATGTTGCAAGAAAACGTATCAGTGAAGGGCCGGGACCAGCAAAAGGCATCCTTTAGCAGCAGCTAGCAGCCATGTATCTTAGCAGGACCCACCGGTAGAAACACTTGCCCTAGGATCCAACAGTGGGTAGCTACAAGCCACCATATGAAATTTCTCATAGTGGTCTAGAAGATTCTGAACTTTGGTCTGAACAGGTGCAGAATATAGGGCTTGAGACTGCCCAGAGACCATGAAACAAGACAGGATACAGAAATTAACGCCACATTAGTTGGACTACTACCTCACCTCTGCTTATATTTGAATCCAGGTCTGCACAATTTACGACGTTAGACAGAGCCACCAGCCCTGTGTGGTGGTTCTCCAAAGCCTCAATAAACCTATTTGATAAATTCCTTGGCTTTTCCCCCCCAGGACTGCCAAAACAAGAAGTTTGTCAGCCTACTAGCAGGCTATAACACTGGACCTGTGTGCTGCATTCAACTACAGTGGGTCACTTCAGTTATTCAGGCCTGGCTTAGAGATGCAGGCATTTTATTACGCTGCTGCACAATTTTATATAAGGTTATCTATTGCCATAAAATAAGTTATTAAGTTTAAAATACACTTTTTAATTAAAACATGCAAACAGTCCATAAAAGATTCATATATAATATTGTTTGTTTTCATTATATGTAAGCCAAATTTTGGAATATAAATACAAAAACGTATGCTACAGTATCAGGAGCATACTCTGCATTTTTATGAACAGCTGAGATTTTGGAACATGTTGGGCAACGCATATGCTACATAACACACGTTCTTCATGAGCTCCTGAAATTTTTGGAAGCACAGGCTATAGGTACTAATGCATAGATTTGTGTATGTTGGACCATATTTTCAGTACTGAATGCAAAAGAAAAAAATGGATCACCCAAAGAACTGTTCCTCAATAAACAGATTGTGCTCTTGCCATAAAGCAATGCAAGGATTTTTTTGATCATGTTCCCATAAATCATCCAGCCTTCTCCCACCCCATGGCACCAAGATTATAGCAAACATCTGGCCTGTTCCCCTTCTCATTCTGTACCTTACATATGCACACTGTTCTTGCCAGGATACGTACAAGGAAGGAAGTTATTTTCCCCTGGCTAAAATGTGAATTGGAGATGGCTCCTGTTTACCATCCAAGCTTCAGATTAGTTTCTCTGAAACAGATCCCAATTTTGGTCATTTCCCCTCTTGCCGAAGTAGTTTATTCCAATGGAAACAGGCAACAACCAGAAATTGCAACTCTGGGCTGACACAGATGTAACAGTGAGGAGGCAGTGAGCCACAGAATTACACGATCTCTTCCCACAGTCCTTTTCTTTGAACCTTTGACACATGACCAAGCCTCAGAGGTTGGAAACATTACGTCAAAACTGCACCACAGATAGACACGTGTGTTTTGCATTGATGAGCATGTGTTCAAATGTCTTCATCACAATCCTTCTAGGAGGATTCAGGTTATCGTTTCATTCCTTCCGCAGATGGATGGCATGAGATTACTGAACATGAAATGTCCTTACAGCATTTGCTATCTTTTCTGCCTCAGTAAATATTCATCATTTGTTTGGGAGTGTTGTTTTTTAGCTGTACTGTTGCTGCACCTTTCTAGCTGAAGAAAGGTTGAGGGAGCAATAGCCCTGAACATAAACGAGCACAGAAATAAGGCAGAAGAATTCAAGGACTCTGTATAGGGGCGAGGGAAAGGATAAAATGACATGCTTTTATTGCTTTATACTTGTACATATTTCATGCAGTTAATGCATCTATGTGACTATGCCGTGCAATATCTCTATAGATGTTATCTGTGTGCTTGAATATTTTACATAATGACAAGGAAAAAAATTATGAAGTCGGTATGAAAAATTATTCAGAAGTCTTACTGAGAGCAGTGGGGCATTGCTTTAAAGAAGGTCTGTGTTCTGGAGCATGACTGGATAGAAGGAAGAATTGCCTGGAGGATGGAATGTTATGGTAAGAGGGAAAGGGAATCTATTGGAGGGCAAGACGCTGGGGAAGGAAGGAGCAGTTGGGATGTGTCAGCTAAATGGGTGGAGGCCAGTAGAGAGGGCAGATGAATTTCCTAGATTAGGAAAATGTTCAGGTGATGAGATCTCCTATTTGAAAGGTTCTCCGTAAAAACAAATGAATTCACACCATAAACCATACAGGACTGATCCAAAAACTTAGTTTGATATTTATTTGTTATTTATACAAATAAACATCTGTTAAATAGTTAATTCTGAGGTCTCTCTCATACAGTTCACATTCTGAGGCCTTGAACATCTACCTGAAAGCAAAGAATTCATAGGAGGATGGTGACAACTGCAATCTAGATCTGAGGTTTGGCAGTTAGACCCGTAGAAGAATTTTATCTTGCTGGCATGAAGTTTCTGTGCATATACAGAGGACTACTGTCAACAAAGGCTTCCATGGCCCAATTCATACATAAGTGCAACAGTATGGTAGAAATTGACCCGTGGTCTTGTTTTATATATCTTCTTGGGTAATATTTGTATTGAGGAACCATGTGAGTATGGACAATGACCTAGTGACTTTCCAAGGCGACATTGTCCTCCAAGGGATCAGGTAACATTTATATGAGAAGGATTTGCACTCTTCCCATGGTTCCTCAATATAGATGTTACTGGAGAGTCACTGAGGTGTACCACGGAGAATCAGTTCCCACATCATTGTGGCAACATTTGGTTGTATGCCTCTTACGTCCTTGAGAGGAGGAAGGGGAGGTTCTAGCTACATAAAAAGGATGCACAAGTGGAAATGGGTTTCTTCTTCTGAAATGAATAGAGAGGCCCACTTGTATAAAAACTCCAAGTAAAATAGTTATTAATTAAAACTTGCAAGAACACAAGAGTCAGAATTAACAAGTAGAATTGTAAAACAAATGCAAAAAGAATTTGGTGGACTGAATGAAGGAAAATAAACTGAGTTTGAATCCTGGCAAGTCAGAGGCTCCGTGCGTGACTGGTTCCTGTGCCCAAGAAATTATCTGCCCTGGATGGGATTGTACTCTCTCTGACAGAGCAGGCTGTAGTTCTTAGATTTAGCAGAATATCAACAGAATCAGTTTGCCCTCCCTACCTCCAAAAATCATTCTCTCAGTTAAAGTCACTTTCATCATCTAGCTATTCAAATTTTAGGTGTTTCAAATTTCACTATATTTGCTGAGCTGTGCTATACTGGAGGGAGGATGGAGAAGGTGGTGATGGCAAAGACCGCCTAGGAATGTACCATAGGGAAGAAGCTTTCTCTCTATTCAGCCACACCACTAGGGAGCCAACCAAGCATGCGGGTTCATTCCTGGGACTTGGCACAGTGGTGCCAACTAATTGGGACCAGCATGCTATTGCAGACATCCTGTGCCAGCAGAACAACAGAGTCGGACGAACATTGGCAGCAAATCCAGTCTTATCTCTATCTGAGAGTTTCTCATCTACTTTAGGAACCATAGTTCAAGTGGAAACGGGGAACACAGCAGGACTAATTTTTCTACAGGTTTTCTACAGGTTTATCCCTGCTCCTCACTGAGTAGCAAACTCTTCAGAAAGCAACTTCATGCCTAGCATTTTCTCTTGATTTTATTCATTTTGCTAAACACATCCATTTTTGGATAAGCAATGTCATCATGTAATAAATATCTATTAGTATTGCTGAAATGTCAGCTTTAATTTTCTTGAGTTAATGGGTAATTGAAATTATATATCATTCACCACAATGGTTTGTAGATTCCAAAATTATTCTTTTCACTGTTTAACCAACCTTCCCCCAAATCTTTAGTTCTCTTCACCCTATTAATATATTGAGGCATCTGCAGCCCTAAGTACTTACCCTCCAAAAAACATGCATTACATTTTGATTAATGAAATCTGAAGTAAAGAACTACATCAATAAATTGTAAATTCTGTAATACAATTGCTTACCGTTTGCTCCAGTGGGCTGATGAACTCAGAAAGTGTTAAATTGTGTTGGGAATGATTCCTTCTATGACGGGATATCTGAAAATGCATTCATTTACAAGTTAGAACCTGCTAGCATCAAATCAAACAATGCTGAACAAGGAAGGGTCGATTGAAAGTAACTTAACAGAACATACGCAGTTTGCTCTGCGCTAAGTGCTAAGAATCTGCATGCTAATAACACTGACACGCAGCCTTCTTTATTTATAACATTTTATCCCTCGCTACCTCTAGTAATAATAATTCCGTGTTTAATGTGCCTACTCAGTAACCCTTTCAATAACTCTTTAAAGTCGGTCGGTATTGTTCTGAGATAGTCAAAGACCTCTCAGTTCAAGTCATAGATGGACTCTGAAAACATTTCTGAAAAGGTTGGACAATTGGTTATTTCCAAGTCCAGTTACAAGCTCTGTTAGATGCAATTGCTCTCCCAATTTCCACTGAGAGAAAAGCATAATTCCCAGCCCCGTGTTATCTCCTAGCTTTCCCCCAACTTCATCACCTCCACTACATTTTACCTGCCTGCAATGTTGGCAGCTGTGGCAGCAGCAGGTAGGTTCTTCTTCCTTCCCTTGTGCTACACATATGAATTCCTGCTATGGGAGCTCTCATGTAATTTAGCACCTTCTTTTCTATTTGTGGATTATGCTCTTTCCCCCTCCCCCCCAAAAAGAGCTTACCATATGTATTTAAAATATGTCAATGAAATTTAAGGAAAGAGGGAAAGAATCAGAGGTGCTTTGCTCTAAGTTATTTATTAATACATTTACATCTTTCACTTCTCTTCCATGGCACAGGTCCTGGCCTCCAATCCAGGCACTGATCTGCCTGAAGGGTGGAGGTGATGCTACCTCCTTATCATTTTATGTAAGTGAACCAAAATAAGAAACTATTTCTTGGTAAATTTTAATTGTGCTTTGTTTTAAAAGGAACCACAGTTTGCCATGCGGGACTGAAACACATAAAGAAATGTGTTATTTTTATCCAAAACAGAAATAATCAGTAAATTTTGACTGGTTTTTTAACTAGGCTCCCTGTCTTCTTTCATAGTAAAGCACAGTTAACAAGAAGCCATAATATATGCTGTTTATATGTAAATGTCGGACTCTACAAAATGTTCATAATTAATCCAGAGGGCCTCCCTCAAAATATACTTTAAAATATTATGATCCCATATTTTACGGCACACACTGCTTTCATGTTTATTTGTAAGCACTAACGTTTTAAGCCCTGAAACCTACATCTTAGAAAGTGCTCTACTCTCCCAGTGATAGCTAATGAGCTTAATGAATTACCCATTCTAAATTTAATACCAACGTTTCACAGAGAAAACAGATAAAACAGTCTCTGTGATTCAAAAGTTTCGCTGACCTATTTATGAGGAATATCACTTAACAATTTCATTAGAAATGAGTAACAGCTGGTGACATGGCTGTGTCCTAAAGTGTTTTTCTCTCTTAATATTCTGCATCTTAAGCAATCGAGCCTTCATAAGAAATACTTTCGTTAGTGGCAGTCCCTCCTTTGGGGAGAAAAAAATGTCAGACCACATTTTCTGTATTTTGCAATCTTGTTTTCAGGAGTGTCATGCTCCCGTTTTATTAGCATGTAGGGTAAACAAGAATGATTTGCTGATGCTGTTGAGAGAACTTCTAAGATGTCAGACTTTCCATTTAGATTTTGGATAGAACTTTAATATTAATACAAACTGAGGCATGTGTGTAAATTCAAAATAAATTAGTTCCATTTATCTCCCCTCTCCATATCTTTTAATGTTATACAGATCTGGTGCTAATATTCATGCTACAACATCCCTATCTAAACTATTCAGGTCTATATCATTTTTATTCTCTCAAAGATCCCCACTCTTAATTATACTTTTACATATAACATAGCAGATAAAGTTGTGAGAGATCATTTCTCTACCCAGAATGAAAGAAAATGACCTCCCAGCATTCCTTGGGGGTCAATAAATGATACTCCATCAGTGATTCAAAGAGAATACATTGGGAGTGATCAAGCTAAAGTGAAGCACTTTAACGCTGCAATTTTAAGCCGAGGGAAAATTGGACGTTCTTCACACACACACAGGCGTATGTTGTGTATTCTTGATTTCAACAGATAAGTGAGAAGTGTTATAACATTGTGGGCAGTCCTTAAAAAGGAATATTGGTGACCTCCCTCAAAGAGCTATCATGAGAATCTATAAAAATTATGCACATATCAATGAAGGAAAAGTACACTATGCTTATATATCAGTGTGTCACCTTTCTAATATAGTAAATGCATTTTAGGCTATGTATTGGCACTGCTATGTATAGATGTTGATACTAGACAAAAGAAAGATAGAAAAATGACAATTTCCCACAGACTAATAATCTAATCTGAAGAATGGTCTAGCATATGAGTATTTAGGATGAGGCATGCCAATATCCCTGTACAAGTGTAATGACCCCAAAATGATATCACACTCATGTTAACAATAATGTTGTGCTGTTAACACTCCAAGCAGGTATGATATTTTAAGATTCGGGCATAAGGGATAGTGCATGGTCAAACCCTTCACTTGGGATCTCTCCCATTTTCCGCCACATATTCTAATAATCTCAATCATTTCCACTAAGCTTCAAGTATTAAGAAAGTCTGAGAAACCTTCAGAAGGTTCCTTTTCGGGAAAGCTGGCTTATCAGCAGTTTTATGATTTGATGAACGTTCTTCAGTCAGCAGCAATGTCACCTGAAGCATTAAAAAGTCCACACACTAAGCGCTTGCAAGTCTATGGGCAAATCTGGTTTTGTTAAATTCAACCTCAGCAACTTTCCCCTCTTCCCTCCCCCCCAAGTTAGCTAAAGGGTATAACAATACTGCTAGATTTCTCCTAGCATCCAGGAATGAAGTCATTGTCAGTTTCTGCAAAGGCAGAATTTCTGCAAAAATATGCCAGTTATCCTGAAGTAAACCAAGGGTTGACAATGTAACTTTATGGCGAACAGCTTTGTGATAAGCAAAATGGAACAAATGCATGTAACTTAGGGTTACCAAGAATCAGAACACAACTGCAACATGTTCCAAGAATGAGGGCTACCAGGGTTATTGGAACAAGGAAGTAGCTCCTAGTGAAAAAGAGTGATATTGCAGTGGAATAATACTGGGTCCTTAAGTAGAACAAGCAAAAGGAAGTTGCTTTCACTCCTGCTTCGAACTAGAACTTTTTGCCACACATTCTGTAATAAAGAAGCTGGACATTTACTGTTTGAGTACTATATTATATTCCTTTGTTTGAATCTGTAAACGTCAGATTTTTAAAAAAACAACAGCACAGATCTGTGTTACATTCTCCTTCCTTACGCCTCCTTTTAAGTACACTGCCCTCTGTACACAGTTCAGTTCCCTTGTGTGTGTAAGAATAATGATAATGGCTTTGCTTGCCTTGACCCTCAGTTCAGTTATAAATCAAAACCTTATAGACCTTTTAACAGAGTAAGAGAGCCTTCCTTCATGCTCAAGCCTATGGAGGTACTTCCCTCCCAATCCTGCAAGATATCAATGAAATTTATTATAAACAGTCCCAACTTAATCTGGATAATGAGTAGTATAATATCTTAAATAAAGGAAAATCAATATGTGTTATTGTGCACATATTGCACTGAACCAGAGCCCTGATTTAGAGTCCTGTACAACAAGCATTGCTTGTGAGTAACCCTGCAAGGGATTGAAAACCTTGAGCAGTAGTCCAATATATTTTAGTTAGTGTATACATTCTCACTTGCACCTTCTATGCACCTTACTTCATACCATGGATTAATTGGATTACATTGCTTGGAGCACATCTGTATGTAGATGCATGCTACAGCCTTATTGATCTGCTCGCACTGTTATGTATGTTAATTGTCCTAGCAAACCTCAGCAGAATGAAGTGCCAGATGTCTAGATCTGACTAGTTTTTCAAAATATTGTGCGACCTTCTGGATGACTGCATGAAAGAAGAACTGCTCCTAATATGCCATGTCACAATAGCTGAATCAGGGCAATGGCTTACTTTGTATTTTGGTTGCTGTTGCAACTAAAGCCATAAGGTTAGGGGTATACATATAAATCAATAGGTTCTCCTATAAGATTGGGTCAACTTATAAAAAGGAGCAAGACATGGTGGACACATTTAATGATCTGGGAACACCTAATGCTGTGGTGCTTATGTGCTCTGTACTTTCTGAAGGAAAATTAGGGTATACGTATGATGATACAGCACATAGTTTTTGAAATTCATTTCTGCAAGATGGGATGGTGGCTAATATCTTAGATGGCCTAAGGGACTGGTCAAATTCAGAGCCCAAGCTTATTGATCACTGAATAACAGCTGGTGGAAGGGGGCAACAGAAAGGAAGAGCCTATGGTTTTCATGTCCTGCCTGTGGACTTCCTGAAGGGACATGAGAGGCCACTTTGGGGAACAGAATGCTAGACTATATAGGCCAGGGGTCATGTTTTGTTTTTATTATCTTAGTTACAACAAAATAATAAGCTATATTCTTAGTTCCCTGACTCAATTCATTCCTTTTATGAAACACTGCTATTCTTTTGTCACATCCTTCTTGTATGTGGCTTAAAGCAATACACATGAGGTTCTCATTTGGTCTCTCTCACAAGTGTAGGCCCGACCCAAATCTGCTCAGTTACAAATGTGAAATTATATCAGTCATCTTAGGGCCAGGCCATACATTATAGTCAATATGTAGAATCAGCCTGAACCAATCTTCAGAATGGCATAATTACAGTAGTCTGTAGCACTGCTTTCTCTGTAGACATGGCTTACTCTGTCTTACATTGAGCTTTCCTGCCATTACTAAGAACGTATGGTTGTAGGACATGATTCCTATGCAGCCATTTCACATGGGAAATTGAGCTACAAGTTAGAGGCACGAAACAACTAAACCTAGTGGAAAATGCTGCAAATGAGTTTGCTATGAAAGTCATAACATATAAACTAGTGCATGAACTAGTTGTCAATCACATCCTAGTTGTACTTGACTTTCTGTTGCT